AAACTCTGATACTTTGATGAACAGAGGTGGAGGCATTCATCCCCTAAAGACATTTTCACTTGGATACAATCAGGAGTCAAACGATTGATAACTTTTACAGGCCAACATGGAATATGCTGACCCTGGACACTGGTGGTGTAGACCAGGGAGCCAGTTCACAAGATGATCCCTACACACCAAGCTTTGATCCAGAAGCTTTCCAGGTTAGGTAACAAGAAAATAAACAACACATCATTAGATGAATAATTGAAAATTCTGAAAAATTTTCATTAATTCACATCATGTGCAATTTGAAATGAACAAACTACATGTACATATGAACAGAGATTGAACAAGCTATTCGTTTCAGGAAATCAAGATATATATATTATTTAATAATTGTTTGAGATAATTGTTTGCATGTAAAAAACTATTTTTGTGACTTTCTGTAGAGATCTCAACAAACTTTTGATAACTAAGATGCAATTTCAATTTATTCTGTTATATAGACCTTCCATCCTCAGTCGGAGAGGGAGGTAGCCATGGTGCTGCTAGATTTGTCCTCGGATCGGTCAACGCAATCCAGTCAGTCCAGTCAGACAATGATGTCTTAGATTTATTTGTTTTTTACATAACGTCCTCATTCGGAGTAGGAGGGGAGGAGGTAGCCGTTGTGCTGCTAGATTTGGCCTCAGACTGGCCAACACAGCCCAGCCAGGCAACGATCTCTTAAATTTATTTGTTTTTTACATAACGTCCTCATTCGCAGAAGGAGGGGAGAAAGTAGTTGATACCAGATTTGTCTTGACTGGTCAACAGTTTTTTTTTTAACTGTACATTCTCATTCGGAGCAGCAGGACTGGAGGTAGTCATGGTGCTGATAGATTTGTCGTTGGACTGATTAACATGATTTGATCAATGCAATCAGGAAACAGTGTCTCAGATCTCAGTGTTTATATGGACCCATCTTAACCAGTAAGAAAATTTGATATTAAATGGAAAAATATTTCTGCGCTAGGTAAAAACCAATGATAATTTTCTTATTTTCACAATTAATTTTCCTTCTTTCTGTGTGTTATATCAGCATATCTCAGGAGAAAGTGCATTTTATTGATAATATTTTTATTTGAAAATATTCTTTAAAATAAAGTTTGATATTTTCATAGCTAATTCCTTATACATGATTATTTTTTGAACATTATTTCAAAAATTGGATTTAAACTTATTTATCAGTATTGAAAACATACGTGAAAAGCTACAATATGTTTTAAAATCTTCTATTTTTGTATGGTGTGTACTGTTGTCCTCTCAATCGATTTTTAAGATAGAATTGTACTTAAAGTTCTGTTTTGAAATATTTCATAGGGAAACAGACTATATATGATAAAGGCTTTTGGTTGTTGTTTTATTTTTATGACTGATTTTAAAAGCTGAATGGAAATTTGTATGTAAACTAAAACAACAAACAAAAATGAATTAGGATTTTTACACATTTACTGATGAAGACATTGATTGATTTATATTGTATGAAATAAAATATTTTTTCAAACATGTTATCAAATGTTTATATAAAGCATTGTAAAAGTTTGGGTTTTTTTTTTTATTTTGAAATGTTTGCAGCATCAAGGGAAGGAAGATTACTCTGTGTATTTTCCCTTTTAAAATTAATCTTCAAAGTTTGTTAAAGGTTAAAAATGTTTGAGAAATGTTAAGTTTGTTAAGCAGAATTTGATTTTCCAGACACCTAACTGGTGGGGTTTTTTTGGTCATATGTAATTGGGTTACTTTTGTGATCATATTAACATGATGTAAAATGAAATGTAACATAAAAATTCAAGCAGAATTTCAATATATCTTGATTTGTATAATGTTTACATAATTGACCATGAGATTATGCATGGATTGAAATATTGTGCTCAATAGTGCTTCTAAATCTAGTCTTATACTAAAATGAAGTAATAGTAACGGAATTGGTCAACACTTGTAGGTAAAGTTTGACAAATTACAGTCAGGATTTGCCAGTGGAATCAAAAACTTTTCTAGCATTTTATACCTTCATAATCCACCAATATTACATGTGAAACATGATCCACCAATATTACATGTGAAACATGATCCACCAATAGTACATGTGAAACATGATCCACCAATAGTACATGTGAAACATGATCCACCACCAGTACATGTGAAACATGATCCACCACCAGTACATGTGAAACATGATCCACCACCAGCACATGTGAAACATGATCCACCACCAGTACATGTGAAACATGATCCACCACCAGTACATGTGAAACATGATCCACCACCAGTACATGTGAAACATGATCCACCAACAGTACATGTGAAACATGATCCACCACCAGTACATGTGAAACATGATCCACCACCAGTACATGTGAAACATGATCCACCACCAGTACATGTGAAACATGATCCACCAACAGTACATGTGAAACATGATCCACCACCAGTACATGTGAAACATGATCCACCAACATGTACAGTACATGTGAAACATGATCCACCACCAGTACATGTGAAACATGATCCACCAACAGTACATGTGAAACATGATCCACCAACAGTACATGTGAAACATGATCCACCACCAGTACATGTGAAACATGATCCACCAACAGTACATGTGAAACATGATCCACCACCAGTACATGTGAAACATGATCCACCAACAGTACATGTGAAATATGATCCACCACCAGTACATGTGAAACATGATCCACCAACAGTACATGTGAAACATGATCCACCAACAGTACATGTGAAACATGATCCACCAACAGTACATGTGAAACATGATCCACCAACAGTACATGTGAAACATGATCCACCACCAGGAAATATGAAACATGTATTTTTGGTGGATTATGAAGGTATAATTATTTGAAAAATTGACACATTCGTTTTTTTTAATACATTGTATTGCCAAACATAATTTAATGAAAGTGGATTCAAATCATTAAGGAAGCAAAACAATAATTTTAACATGTGTAACTAATGGTATGAAACAATTTCAATTAATTTGATTAATGCATCCCAGCATGTAGAAACATTTCCCAGCACTTACTACAATAAATATTTATTTCAGAGTCAATAGTGTTTAATCCTATTAGATATAGATATTCTATATAATATTATCATTTTTTATTGTTGTGTTTATTTTGTAGGCAGTACAAAGAATGTTTGCTTAGCCTCATAAATATAGGCAGAATTTTGTATTTGTTGATAAAATGATATTATTTATAAATAATTTATCTGATTACACTCAGTTTAGTTTTAAGTGCACTTCCATTTGTAGTTACTGTTTACTGATGTATTTTATCTAATGTTTCCAAGTTACGACTGTTAATGTTACTTGTTAAATTGTTTAAAGAAATCTTTCTATAATATTACATTTCTTGATGTATCTTGCAGGCCAGTGCTTGTTTGATTAATTACGTAAATCATTCAGAGACCTTTTCTTTGCTGAATTCATGATTAACAATTTCTCTCATTCTTTCTTGTGGCTTAATTAGACTCTTTAATTCCTTAGTGGAAAAAATGTTGCTTACAATTAATTTGTTGTCAAAATGACTGCTATTAAATCAGTACTCTACTGAATACCTGACACATTGTTTAAATCTCTGTCTTCTGTTGCCTTGGAAGAAATATTTACTATTCATTGACATTTCTGATTTTTTTCTGACAGTTTTTCCTCTATATGCCAGGTGCCTATTTCTATAAATAGACTGATTCTGATTTTGAAATTATATGTTTAGTGTTCTTATTTTGGTACACAAATTATTTCCTATGTTATCAATTTTTTTTTCAAATGTGCTCTCCAAATATTTGCCACTTTAAAACACATATATATATAATTGGTTATTTCAGTCTATATATATGATCAATTGAGTAATAGCAACAGTATGGACAAGCAAATCGTCAAATTTTCAAGGCAACCTGCCCCTTTATCAAGACACAAATAAATTACATCACATGCATAAAACAAATAAGTTATAAATCTAAATCGAGAGCGGTGGTGTAAATTTAGTTGTCTCGATAATCCTTTCGGCCTATGGACACCGAAGGACCTTTATAGCAGACAAAAACCATCCCAAGTTGTTGTATGTAAGATGGTGATTAAAATATCAAAAATGTTTTACATAAATCTAGGCATGTTTTGCACTGTAGACTCTGAGCGTATATGTCAAAATTGACATGTATATAATGCTAATAAATATTGCCCTATTGTGAAAAAAGTCACCCTGGAAGAGCGGAAAAAACAAATTGTATTTGATAAAGGAGTTAACAGAAAAGAAATATTTCTTTCTATATTCTTCATTTAACAATACACTGTAGTCACCAAGATGTCTAAGAAGTATATTCCATCTTGGAGACGTTTTACAATTCTTCAGGACACTTAAAGATTTCTTGTCCACTTCTTCAATGTTATGGAAAGTCCCAGATTCTTGAGGTAGCAATATTTTAATTTTCTGTGAGCTTACAGAATATCAAACTGAATGAGTCCCCTGTTCAATATATGGTAGGGTTGCAGGTTTTACAGAGAGATATATTCACATTCTATTTTTAAGCTAGAGGCAGTTTCCTTTTATATTATCAAAGCTTGCTCAGTTGAGCAATGGACCAGTAAACCAGGGGTCATGGGTCCTGATCGTAACATTCCTTTCCTGTTACCTCTGGTGTACATTTATACACTTCAATACAAGCTAGAGGAGATTGAGAGGCTTCTGGAAGACTCTATCTGTAACAGAAACACATTACTACTTTCCTGTTTTAGTACAGTATTAATATATGTGATATTTTCACAAGCATCAACTGGTGTACTTCTGTTTAGATGAAACCTGTACATTATCTTAAAAAGAAAACTATTGAACTTCTATCAATCAAAATTTCAAATGGCACTGTACTTAACCAATTCAAGCCTTACAAACGAGCAGTCTGAAATATGATCGTGATAATTCTCAGAAAAAAATTCAAGAACAGACAACAAATCATAATTGATTTTACATGTATAATTTATTTTCAGTTTGACAAAAATTCATGACCTTTCTGCACACAACTTTCTCACTCACTTGTACACAAACAGACACATTGACTCATGTGAAATCTTTTGAAGCAGAGAAATAGAAGTTCCATATTCTACTTTTTTATAAGCTGAAGCTGACTTCAACAGATCTTGATACTTATATACTATCTACATCCACAATCATCAGAACATCACTCATTATTCATGTCCTATGGTTCATCAGTTTCAAAACGGTGTTCATTTAAAATTACAAAATATCTAAATTCAATAACCATAATCAGATTAATACAGCAAACCTTCTTAACTTGACACAATCAAGTTACAGTATGTCACTTCATGGCCTTATATTCACATCAACAGTCATTACAGAATCCGCAAATAGAAATTAAAACAAGCAATGATTGGTGCAATATGTTCAACATAAAATGTGCAAAAGTAGAATTACCAAAATATATACATTTACAGTATACTGGTCTGCAGTTCGTTTCCACATAATTTCTGTATAAAACTGGTAAATGCAAATTTTGAAAGTGATCAAAATACATCAAAGTACTATAGTCTTGGTCACAGCAAAGTTTCTTGAATTAATTTTTTCATTCTTTGCACTTGATGATTATGATAAATTTTCTAAATCTTATCTAAATCATGCGAGTGACATTTTATATTAGCAACATTTAATCCAATGTCAAACTGCAGGATAGGCCAAACCTGAGCCTAAAAGTAAAGATACTTTTTGCCTCGGTACAGATACCATATATCTGATGTTTGTATAGTATACAACTCTCCATGTGGTGGCCAGTCTTTCTAAAGTTCAGTTGACAACTTCAATGTTTGGTTCCCTGGTAGCAGTATTGTTGTAGTTTTTCCACTTTGAACACATCTGATGGGTTTACATTGTCAGTCTATATGGATAATTTAAGATTTCTGATTCTACCACGATGGTGCTGTATTGGCTAATCGTCTCATACGTCTGTCAAAAAAAATATTGAAAAGAAAATAAATCATTATTATTGATAAAACAATTCCATACACTACAGAGTCCACCCTAGACTAATTCTGATAGAGTAGTTCCCAAAAACACTAAACCAAAGATCATATAATAGCTCAACTTGTCCCGTCAATATTGGAGAATATCTCAGGGTCACTGTTCAACTTATGATTCCTTAAAACTATCCAGACATCCATGTTTTGTGGTATGATAAATGGCACCTGGCACATGACCCGCACATGACCAATTCTCCCAGAATGCATTGCAGTACCCCAATAACACCTCTGTAAACAGCTCACACTATTTCAAGATTCTTACAGAAACATATTTTTGTCAAATGATAAAGCACTTTATAGTTTTTTTTGTTTTGTCATTTGTATTATAATTTCCAAAATAGATGTTGGTTCACCTGGAAAATGACTTCATTCCTTTATATGGTCATAAACATTATGGAATTTATCGCAGAAGATTACATTTAAGTAAAAAGGCACCAACTACTGTTTTTTCATTTTGTACTTTCACTTTTCAACTAACGGCATGTTCTCAAGAGACATCCATATTGTACAAACAAGCAATCTCATGTTTAACTGAAAAGTTCTCTTGTCATCTATATCTATAAATGACAAATCATGACTGTTCACTGATTAAATGACTTAGGAAGTTTTACCTTGTGTTTCTGTCCTGGTCCCTTATTTTCTTTTCCATTTCAGCATCAGTCAGGGTCTCTAGGAATGGACACCACTGGTCAGCCTCGTTTTGATTTCGGATGGCAACCTCTACAGTAGGCAGTGGGGCTTCACTGCTGTAACACAAAGTTCACTTACAAGATTTGTGTATCAATATCAAGGACAAAAAATGTTTTGATTTTGGTCATCATCTTGACAAATAAAATTTTAAAAAAACTGCTCTGTATCCATGCCCCCCACCTTGACTTTGGAAGTTGAAAAATGTAAGAAACAGTGGGCTATATTTCTCATTCAGCAGTACTCCTTATTGTTGTTGTTTAATTATTAATCTGCCTGCAGAAAGCTGCGGACTGGTTGTCAGTGGACTCCACAAAACCAATCTTACCCACTTCCACACAAATTCATGAAACATATTCCAAAACCCTATGGTTACAATGAAAAATGTCATACATAGTGCAAAATAAGACCATTGATACCAAAACTTTTTTCTCATTTCCAACTCACAGAAACCTAGATTTGGAAATAACTTTATTTGGTTAATTGTCCAGTTAAAAGGCTTGTGTAAAAGTTTGATTTCTAGTATAAATACATTGTTTAGGATTTAGGATAAAACTGAAAAAGACGCATATAACTACATTACCTAAAGGCGTATGTCCTTTGGTGCCAGCTGAGCTGTCCTCTGATACTGTACGCTATAGAGGTCACAAACTCGCCTCCCAAACCTGGTAATACATAACCATTTTAAAAATATCACCACTACAATGTTTATCATACAGCACTTAGTTTATAGGGGAAAACCATTATGTGGTTTTGTTCTAGTTGAAGCTACTTACAAAGTCCCTAACAAAATAAACTCTCACTCCGAACGACTTGTACACATTTGGTTCACAATACATCTGTATCAACACACTCAGAACAACTTGTACACATTTGGTTCACAATACATCTGTATCAACACACTCAGAACGACTTGTACACATTTAGTTCACAATACATCTATATTAACACTCAGAACGACTTGTACACATTTGGTTCACAATACATCTGTATTAACACACTCAGAACAACTTGTACACATTTGGTTCACAATACATCTGTATCAACACACTCAGAACGACTTGTACACATTTGGTTCACAATACATCTGTATCAACACACTCAGAACGACTTGTACACATTTGGTTCACAATACATCTGTATCAACACACTCAGAACGACTTGTACACATTTGGTTCACAATACATCTGTATTAACACACTCAGAACGACTTGTACACATTTGGTTCACAATACATCTGTATTAACACACTCAGAACGACTTCACATTTGGTTCACAATACATCTGTATTAACACACTCAGAACGACTTGTACACATTTGGTTCACAATACATCTGTATTAACACACTCAGAACGACTTGTACACATTTGCTTCACAATACATCTGTATTAACACACTCAGAACGACTTGTACACATTTGCTTCACAATACATCTGTATTAACAAACTGTGAATATATCAAATTTTGTAACTGTAAAACACCACACTGTTTACAAGAAAATTTGTCTTGGCTTAAAATATTATATTTCTATCACACCAAACATAAACAGCCATTCTTTTGTTTTGGCTCAAAATGGTCAAAAAGCAAATGTAGACAACAGTGAAACTTACTCATGTATGATGCTGTAACACCTGACAATGGATGTTATATTGACTATGAAAACATTTCACCTACGCCTTGTTTACAATATAGATGATACCATGATACCATATGCATCATTTTTATATCAAATTCAACAAAATAGTTTTTACTCATGAAGTAAATGAAGATAACTCTGGTGACAAGGCTACTTTTCTGACATGTCATGGTAGCTTTGGCCACATTATAATAGTTCCTCAAATATGATGATAATCAGTTTATATGATTTAAACCAAGACATACCAAGCTCAGCACAGAGTTTCATAGAGAACTCTTCAGGGGAGTTTTCCGGCTCTGACATGTCCCACTCAAATTGGTCCACTAGAGATATATTTCCAACATGTATGTTCAGCTGATAAACAAGACAACAACAATCATGTACATAGGTTTTCCATTCATTATCAAGTTGCTTAATGTCAAATTCCTGATAATATCATGATTACATAAAACAGCAATATAGTGATAAATCGGGAATATTCTTTGTTTGCTCATGAATAACAGTAATTATTCTTTGAGTGGGGTGAAAACTTTGATAATTTTCATGAATGCCCAAGTGAAAACTTTGATAATTTTCATGAATCCCGAGTGAAAACTTTGATAATTTTCATGAATGCCCGAGTGAAAACTTTGATAATTTTCATGAATGCCCGAGTGAAAAATTTGATAATTTTTATGAATGCCCAAATGATATTTGTAACTTGAAAATGTCTATGGTAAGGATAATTCTTTGATGAATTTGCATTAGTTATCAAATATTGACCTCTGCCCCTTTCTCATTGTCCAATGACCATCTTATCACAATAAGGCATAGGACTTGATCTTATGAAACTATGGGATAAACACAACCAAATCTGTTCGAAGGTTCTAAGATGTGACTGAATTTTGTGTCATAAACAGAGCCTATAGAAACATAGAATTTGTAATTGTGGTTGAGTGTCAGCTGAATTTACCTTCAGTATGACACGCTGGTCAGCTTGTTGATCTAATAGATTATCTGTAGGGAAGGCTTCAATCTGCTGACGAATTGCCTGAGACACGGCCGGTACAAAGTTTATAGGGTTGAGATCCAAATCATCACACATTATCTCAGCAAACTGTTCAGGTGTGATGAGGGATTCTGAAACATACAATGAACACTGCATGAGACAAAAATATGTCCAGCTAATGCATTCAGCATGAATTTACTTCAACAAAGTCTCTTCACTTAAGAATTTGGCTTTCACAACAGAATATTCATGAACTAGTTAATTTCATATTTTTATTGAGTCTGCATATACACATGTACTCTAATGACCATCAAATTTTGTTTGCTTGTTTCTGATATCATGTACAAAATGTACCAGTAAAATTTATCAAAGTTGCTTTGCTTTCCATTTGGTCCCAGGAGTCAAACCTGTATCAAAAATATAGGTATGATCATTTAATCTTGTTTGAAAAAAAAACAGATAGGTATGAATCAGTGAAAATTTACCATTCTTGTTCCATGTAAAGCAATCTCGGAGTTTCTGTCCTTCATACTCCATATCTAGCCGTATTGGTACAAGTTGCTCAGACAGATTGGCATTCTCGTGATTCGGTGGAGAATCTGTATCGTCAAAACTAGAGGAAGAACATATTATACAGATTCAATAGAAGAGAAATTCAGATTTGGTTTTGAAAAATGAGTTTCAGAACTGTACTCTACAGACACAATCCTTTAATGACTAGACTAGTAAAACAAAAAACAATCATTTTGATGGTATTCATAGAAATTCGGAAAATACATCAATTTTATATGGTGGGACCCATTATTTTCACCAATAAAGTTGAAAAGTATACAAAGAAAATAAATTGTAGACTGATCACTGATTCAAGAAAATAGAAAATTAACGTTATGCTTTCTGTGATAAACAATATATCAAGTTTGTTAGAAATATTTAGATGTCTCACCAGAGAGGAAATGTGCGGACTTTTGACTTGCCAAGTCGGTTCCTGTTGATGGAGGTAGAACAGGGCACAGCATCAAGGTGATGAGAACTACTTGGTACTGTCGTCACCCAAGTGTTCCTCTTAGCTTTGGAGTCTCTGTGAATGACAGTTATTATGTGTCAGTTTTTTTGTATGATATTGTGTTTTACTTACAGGTGTTTTGAGGGTTTTCAGTATTTTACACAGCCACTTCCCAGACAAATCCATTTACAATTTTTTACAAAGTTTTCTCATAACATTTAAAAGAAAAGGTGTTTTTGCAAACTATCAGCATCTAATGTGGTTACATATGCAGGTAAACACCAAGCAACCAACCCATGCTTAAAAACGATGATGCCCGATAAACCAGGTTAGACTAAAGGGAAGACATCTGAGCTATAGCTCTCAAGATATATCATAGCTTCTGGTTTCAGTGAACAAGTGCATTATAAACAATCAAATGGAATTCATTCTTTCATAGTGTGACTAAGTTCACCATTAGAGTTGGTGGTCAAACTTGCCCACAAACAACATTAATACAGGGGAGATAATCAAACTCGACCACAAATATTAATACATGGAAGACATCAAACTTGATCACAAATTTTCGTAATACAGGGGAAAGTATTAAACATGGCCAAAAATGTTAATAATACAGGGGAGATAATCAAACGCGACCAAAAATATTAATAGTACAGGGGAGATAATCAAACTTGACCAGAAATGTTTTCTAATACAGGGGAGATAATCACCTTGTGTAAGAGGTATCACTGCTGATGGACACAGCTTTATACTGGTCATCATTGCCTTCTAAGATGTTATCTACCTCAACAGCCTTCAGAAGGGTGATATTCGTGGCAAGAGCAGGCGCTCCAGTACCTACAAAGAAAATAAAGTCAGCCACATCAACAAAATGTCCCTCTTTGGATAAATTTTGGACGCTGTTCCTTTTTATTGGGGGGTTAAAATTTTTGAGAAAAAGATACTTTCAAAATATTTATTTATATTTGAATACACAGTATGGAAAAAGAAAAGAAAAGGCTATATAATTACTGGGTTTTATAATACTAATGACTTTAAAAAGAAAACTTGCTATTGAATAATTAACCCACATTCCTTAAACTTTAACTGGCCATTAAAATATACCACAGAAACCACATAGGGGATACCAGATGAAATTTTATCTCTACAAATACAGGGTTAAATTCTATCTATATAGACACTATGGCCTGCTGAGAGTATATCAACAGCTACATATACAAACTAATATGTTTTACAGTTGTAAGATTTTTCAGTGACAAATATTTTTTGAATTTAATCTCTAAATGGAAAAATAAATGATAATTTTACTGAGACTGAAAGACCTACAAAGAGGGCCATGGCATGTCATCTGACAATTGACAAATTGATGGACAAACCTCAGAATTCACAAATGATGGTATGACAAATCTGATGAATTCAAATCTTAAATATTCCTTGAAAGCATCAGAATGAAACATAAGCTAAGACTTTTTGTTCTAGACAAGTTATGTTGGACTTTAAACCAAAGTGAAAAAAATAAGACTTGGTCAGGACAATCTCAGGATCACTTCATCCATGTTTGATGTCACTACCACTACCTGATAATGTTTCAGGCCAAATTTGGCTGAAATCTACCCAGGCATTAAGAGGAGAAGCATTTTATAGCAAAATATTTCTCAATTTATGAAATGAACCCCCACCACCAATGATGTTCCAGACCAAATTTGATTGAAACCGGCCAAACATTAAGCAGGAGTAATGTTTTAAAGGAAAAGTTTATGGACAGACAACAATGGATGCATGAAAGCAATAGGTCATCTTGACCCTTTGGGTCAGATGACCTTAAAATAAAACACAAGCTGACATGGACATCCTTTTGTCAAGAACAACTAAAAAAGTTCAAATATTTTGAAAATTAAATTATTCACATATTAGTGCCAAATAGCTATTACTGTGGAAGTTGCATTTCACAATCATCATGAAAATCAATATTTACCTAAAGTTGCGACTCTTTTCCGCTCTTCAACAGTGAGTAGGCGTCTCCACATAGAGGGATACTTCTTATACAGTGAGCCCCTGAACATACGCAGGTAATTTCCTACCTGAAAAATAAAAGAGAAAATCTCAGGTAAATGTACAATAGTCAATGTTTTCTTATGTTTCACTGCTTCAACAGAGAATTTAAATGAAATGCATGCAAGAGAAAGAAATATGTTTATATAACACAAATATTTGAGGTCAAAAATTGTCTTCTTTTTTCCAGTTGTGTTATTAAGTCTAAAGTATCAACAAATGAACACAATGCATCATATACTGTATGTTGATCTGAAGGTTTCAGGATTAAATTACCTGTCGTAATTGTACCGGAGTTTGACATGGGTTCAATGTTTAGTATATATACATAATACATTGTGACCCAGGTGTTCACATCACATATAATGGACAATTTGCCACTATGATAACGCAGTGAATTTCTAGCTGTCTATTCACTACAACTTTCGAACATCCTTTTTTGGGGATGTTTTGTTAAGGCAGTTGTAGAATTTCTTCACTAAAGTGATTGTGCCATAGATCGTGAGTTTGATGCATGGATAGGGCATGGATAAAAAATTTTCTTCCTTCATCAATTGCGTTACATGTCCAAATATTAGTAAATTAACACAATGCATCATATACATTAACGTACGTTGATCTGGATGTTTCAGATTTGAATTTCCTGTCATAATTGTAACTGAGTATTAAAGTATAACTGTAAATATATATTTGTATTCAGTACTTGTATGTAATGTTGACATGCTTTTAACATGGTTCTGTCTGATGTACTTGTCCTGTAAACCGATCAGGCATGACATGAACCTTTACATGAACCTAAATTCTGTGATACATGTTACTTTACTAGTACTGAACTCTTTAGACTACCCCTCACTCTATCACTAGATTTCTGTGTAAGTGGTCAAACAAACTGAGGGATTATGGGGCCGAGCAAAAGCTACTTTAAATATTATAAAAAGACATAATTAGTTTTTTATGTAATTCATATAAACAAAAATATATACAGAACCATCAATGTGCCTACGTCCAGAGGAGAAAAAATTCAATTTAATGAGAGGACGCGTTGAATTTCCAGGGCATCCATTCAAACACAATGATGTTCCCAACCTGATTATCATTCAATACTAACCCTAGGATTATTGCTTTATTAATCAGAACTACCACTTGTTAGATATATTGGACTCATTATTCACGAAAACATAATGAGCATTTCACCCACTTCACAACAATCACAAACACAGCTGAAACAAGCACATCAGAGCAACGAATACTGCGTATTGTGGGATTCCGTGTTTTCGTTCCGAAACAATATATCCATGCCGAAGACAAATACACGATATTATGCTTACTTCAGAACCAACATAGTAATACTCTCCTCCTTCTTCGATCTGGAATTTGTTCGGCATATCGCCGAACGTCTTTGTTCCAACCATCGCCATTTTGCCGGTGATTGTTAGTGGAGACAACTCTTGAGTGGATACAACTAATGACAGGATTATACACCGGGATTTTCACTATGACAGATTTGGCGGGAATACATTTGACCAGTGTTTACAACAGTTGGGTAATTATGCATAAGGGGAATATCAATAAGATTTATAAAAGAAAATCATTATTAATTATAAATATAAAGGAAAAGGATCACAAGGGTTTATCAGTAAGAGATGGTTAGTATGTTGAAGAAAATTTAGAGAGGAGATAGATAATTATAAGCTGAGAATGATGGAGGCCGAGTATGACGGAGGACGAGAATGTAAGAGACCCAGAATGATGGAGACAGAGAATGATGGAGGTCGAGAATGATGGAGACAGAGAATGTTAGAGACAGAGAATGATGGAGGTCGAGAATGATGGAGACAGAGAATGATGGAGTCCGAGAATGTTTGGGGGCCGAGTGTGATGGAGGCCGAGAATGTAAGAGACCCAGAGTGATGGAGACCAAGAATGTTAGAGACAAAGAATGATGGAGGTCGAGAATATTGGAGGTCGAGAATGATGGAGGCCGAGTATGATGGAGGACGAGAATGTAAGAGACCCAGAATGATGGAGACCCAGAATGATGGAGACCGAGAATGATGGAGGTCGAGAATATTGGAGGTCGAGAATGATGGGGGCCGAGAACGATGAAGACCGAGAATGATGGAGAGCGAGAATGTTAGAGACCGAGAATGATGGAGGCCGAGTATGATGGAGGCCGAGAATGAAGGAGGCCGAGTATGATAGAGGCCGAGAATGATGGAGGCCGAGAATGATGGGGGCCGAGAATGTTAGAGACCGAGAATGATGGAGTCCTAGAATGTTAGAGGCAGAGGATGATGTAGGCCGAGAATGATTGGGGCCGAGAATAATGGAGACAGAGAATGATGGAAACAGAGAATGATGGAGGCCGAGAATATTGGAGGTTGAGAATGATGGAGACCGAGAATGATGGAGACCGAGTATGATGGAGACCGAGTATGATGGAGACCGAGAATGATGGAGGCCGAGAATGTTAGAGACCGAGATTGTTAGAGACCGAGAATGATGGAGGCCGAGATGAAGTGTTAGAGGCAGAGAATGATGTAGGCCGAGAATGATGGAGATGGAGGCCGAGAATGATGGAGTCCGAGAATGTTTGGGGGCCGAGAATGATGGAGGCCGAGAATGATGGGAGACCGAGAATGTTAGAGATAGAGAATATTGGAGGTCGAGAATGATGGAGGCCGAGTATGATGGAGGACGAGAATGTAAGAGACCCAGAATGATGGAGACCGAGAATGATGGAGACCGAGAATGATGGAGGCCGAGTATGAAAGAGGCCGAGAATGTTAGAGACCGAGAATGTTAGGGGGCCGAGAATGATGGAGGCCGAGAATGTGTTAGAGGCAGAGGATGATGTAGGCCGAGAATGATGGAGGCCGAGAATGATGGAGGCCGAGAATGTTTGGGGGCCGGGTGTGATGGAGGCCGAGAATGTAAGAGACCCAAAATGATGGAGACCGAGAATGTTAGAGACCGAGAATGATGGAGGTCGAGAATATTGTAGGTCGAGAATGATGGAGGCCGAGTATGATGGAGGACGAGAATGTAAGAGACCCAGAATGATGGAGACCGAGAATGTTAGAGATAGAGAATGATGGAGGTCGAGAATGTAAGAGACCCAGAATGATGGAGACCGAGAATGTTAGAGATAGAGAATATTGGAGGTCGAGAATGATGGAGGCCGAGTATGATGGAGGCCGAGAATGTAAGAGACCCAGAATGATGGAGGCCGAGAATGTTGGGACCGAGAATGATGGGGGCCGAGCATGTTAGAGACCGAGAATGTTAGAGACCGAGAATGATGGAGTCCTAGAATGTAGATGCAGAGGATGATGTAGGCTGAGAATGTAAGAGACCCAGAATGATGGAGACAGAGACTGATGGAGACAGAGAATGATATAGGCCAAGAATATTGGAGATAGAGAATGATGGAGGTCGAGAATGATGGGGGCCGAGAATGATGGACACCGAGTATGATGGAGACCGAGAATGTTAGAGACCGAGAATGATGGAGTCCTAGAATGTTAGAGGCAGAGGATGATGGAGGTCGAGAATATTGGAGGTCGAGAATGATGGAGACCGAGAATGATGGAGTCCGAGAATGTTTGGGGGCCGAATGTGATGGAGGCCGAGAATATTAGAGACCGAGAATGTTTGGGGGCCGAGTGTGATGGAGGCCGAGAATGTAAGAGACCAGAATGATGGAGACCGAGAATGTTAGAGACCGAGAATGATGGAGGTCGAGAATATTGGAGGCCGAGAATGATGGAGGCCGAGAATGTTAGAGACCGAGAATGATGGAGGTCGAGAATATTGGAGGTCGAGAATGATGGAGGCCGAGTATGATAGAGGCCGAGAATGTTAGAGACCGAGAATGTTAGAGACCGAGAATGTTAGAGACCGAGAATGATGGAGACCGAGTATGATGGAGACCGAGTATGATGGGAGACCGAGAATGATGGAGGCCGAGTATGAAAGAGGCCGAGAATGTTAGAGACCGAGAATGTTAGGGGGCCGAGAATGATGGAGGCCGAGAATGTGTTAGAGGCAGAGGATGATGTAGGCCGAGAATGATGGAGGCCGAGAATGTGTTAGAGGCAGAGGATGATGGAGGCCGAGAATGATGGAGTCCGAGAATGTTTGGGGGCCGAGTGTGATGGAGGCCGAGAATGTAAGAGACCCAAAATGATGGAGACCGAGAATGTTAGAGACCGAGAATGATGGAGGTCGAGAATATTGGAGGCCGAGAATGATGGGGGCCGAGAATGATGAAGACCGAGAATGATGGAGACCGAGAATGTTAGAGACCGAGAATGATGGAGGCCGAGAATGTTTGGGGGCCGAGTGTGATGGAGGCCGAGAATATTAGAGACCGAGAATGTTGGAGGCTGAGAATGTTGAGGGGCCGAGTATGATGGAGGCCGATAATGTTAGAGGCAGAGAATGATGCAGGCCGAAAATGTTAGGGGGCCGAGAATGATAGAGTCCTAGAATGTTAGAGATTGAGAATGATGGAGACCGAGAATGATGGAGGCCGAGTATGATAGAGGCCGAGAATGTTAGAGACCGAGAATGTTAGGGGGCCGAGAATGATGGAGGCCGAGAATGTAAGAGACCCAGAATGATGTAGGCCGAGAATGATTGGGGTCGAGAATGATAGAGACAGAGAATGATGGAGATCGAGTATGATGGAGACCGAGAATGATGGAGGCCGAGTATGATAGAGGCCGAGAATGATGGAGGCCGAGTATGATAGAGGCCGAGAATGTTAGGGGGACGAGAATGATGGAGGCCGAGAATGTTGGGACCGAGAATGATGGAGACCGAGAATGATGGATTCCGAGAATGTTTGGGGGCCGAGTGTGATGGAGGCTGAGAATATCAGAGACCGAGAATGTTGGAGGCTGAGAATGGTGAGGGGCCGAGTATGATGGAGGCCGATAATGTTAGAGGCAGAGAATGATGGAGGCCGAGAATGTTAGGGGGCCGAGAATGATAGAGGCCGAGAATGTTAGGGGGCCGAGTATGATGGAGTCCGAGAATGTTAGAGGTAGAGGATGATTGGGGCCGAGAATGATGGAGGCCGAGAATGTTAGAGATAGAGAATGATGGAGGTCGAGAATGATGGGGGCAGAGAATGATGAAGACCGAGTATGATGGAGACCGAGAATGTTTGAGACCGAGAATGTTAGAAACCGAGAATGATGGAGTCCTAGAATGTTAGAGGCAGAGGATGATATAGGCCGAGAATGTTAGAGGTAGAGGATGATGGAGGCCGAGTATGATAGAGGCGGGAGAATGTTAGAGACCGAGAATGTTAGGGGGCCGAGAATGATGGAGGCCGAGAATGTTGGGACCGAGAATGATGGGGGCCGAGCATGTTAGAGACCGAGAATGTTAGAGACCGAGAATGATGGAGTCCTAGAATGTTAGAGGCAGAGGATGATATAGGCCGAGAATGATGGAGGCCGAGAATGATGGAGTCCGAGAATGTTTGGGGGCCGAGTGTGATGGAGGCCGAGAATATCAGAGATCAAGAATGATTGAAGCCGAGAATGTTAGAGACTGAAAATGATGGAGGCTGAAAATGACGGTGGCCGAGAATGATGGAGGCCGAGAATGATAGAGGCCGAGAATGTTAGAGACCAAGAATGATGGAAGCCGAAAATGTTAGAGACTGAAAATGATAGAGGCTGAAAATGATGGAGGCCGAGAATGATGGACGCCAAGGATGAAGAGAAATTGTAAGGAAGTCTTTGTCTCACCTAATAAATGAACAACACACGGTTGCAACAGATACAGTCTGATATTGTTGTCAATGCTCTTGAAATATTCTATTTTCAAATGCGATATGAAGTAAGATGTGTTAGATGTTCGTTACGCCGTGGTTTGTTCGAAAGTATACTAGGCTCACATAGAATGTGTTTTTAATGAATGCGAAAGTATTTTATGTGGCGGTCATTAGATATATAAGTTTCCGTAAGTATGCCAGGTCGTTTGATCACTATTAGATTATTTTTCTTTCTGATACATTATATGACCAACGTAGCTAACTCCATATCCCTGATGGAGGGGAAATAACTCCATTTCGTACACAACAAAAAGTTTGGAATTACCGGTATTATAATCTTTCAGAATTCCAGAATTACAGACCAGCCACCCTTCAGCTTTAACAGTTTAACATATTGTCGTAACTTTTATTGTTCTTCATTTTAGGCGGTCACCGGTATGAAGACAACGCGAGATGTTGCCATGGTATTTTGACCAACAATTATAATTGATATGTAATAAATTCATCTAGATAAGTCCCTGTGTTAGATCCCACTAATAGATGACGTGAATTTTAGTTTCTTGCATATTTTTGTAAGAAATATTTACAGAGTTTTTATGACTTGTTCTTTTCACTTCAGGATCAGTT